CCTTAAGGGATTATATAGGGGTTATATTGAAAAATACCCAGGTCTGAGAAAAAGATCACAAACAAGTGGCTGGAAGCTGGCGATTGGCACATCGGGGACGCCAGGCTCAACAAGGTGCTTCCCAAAATTAGGCTTTTAGGTTTTTAGAGTTTAGGGTTTAGGGTTGTCCCAAAATTAGGAGTTTAGGGTGTAGGGTTCTCGTTGAGGGGAGGTCCCTCTAGTAGGGGGGGTCCCTCTAGTAAGGGGTTATGGTATTTGGGGGATCTATATGGGGGGGTCACCCATTTAAAGAACCTACCATTGGCTGTGAGAGCCGTTTGCTTGAACTGATGGCAGACCTGTTGAGGGCTATAGAACACCAGTCGAGTAGTATGTTATAGTAGGAAGACGAGTTATAAGACCAGCTAGAAGAACGCCAGCGAACTCGCAAGAGGAGCGCTTGGAATCACGAAACCCAGAACCCTAAACCTTAAACCCTAAACCCAACCCCAAACCTAAACCCTAAACCCCTACTTAATATATCCACATTCAGCTAGGCTACCGGCCCGTAGTCAAAAGTCGGTTGAGGGTTTAGAGTCTGGGCGGGATTCATAAACCCTGAACCCTTAAACCCCTAAGCCCTAAACCCTAGAACCCTAAACCCCTAAACCCTAAATCTAGGGGCTCTTGCTAACACTGAACCCCTGAGACTGCGGTTCGCTGTTTGTGATTCCAAACCTTGCGGTCCCCTTTCAACGACCACTTCATCACCGGAGCCATAGTACCTCAAAAAGAGGTTATATAGGGGATCATGTAGGATTTAGGGTCTAAACTCCTTAAGACGGGGTTTTAAAGGGTTTAGGTTCTAAACTCCTTAAAGGTTGTTATATACACTCCTTAAGGGTTACATAGCGTGCAGGTTCTAAATTCCTTAAAGGGGGGTTATATAGATAATATAGGGTTTCGGGTTTAGGGTCTAAACTCCTTAAAGAGGGGTTATATAGGGAACTATGCAGGGGACTATTATCGGGGTTATTAAGGGTGGATACTAGGAGTTTAGACTGTGGCTCACTCAATCCTACTGTTTGCTGGTTGCTTGTCAGTGGTCGTTTCTTTTGGCTCTATCCGCATCTTCTGACAACACAACTTGGCACCTAAGATAGTGTCGGACATGTAGGTACCTAGACCCTCCTCCTACCCTCTATTAGGGCCTAAGTGCCCACTATTAGGGATCATATATCCCCAATTAAGGGTACAAGGAGTGTCCTGGTAGATCACTGAGGACAAGGGCGAGAGGCATGCTGCCAAACTGCACCTCAAGGCAAGGAGACTTTAGCCATAAGATGGATGCACGCGAGTCCGTGCGGCTTACTTGGAGGTCAGGGAGACTTAGTAAAAGTAGGTTCATGAAGGGGATCATTTGGGCTGATAGGAATTATTTAACACACTTACCAAGCCCCCTTGACCCTCAGTAGATATAAGTCTATAGTCCTGGGTATAAGCAAACATCTAGGATGTTGTTGTTGGAGATATTCAGATTTTCGTTCTGTATGGGGACCAGCGTACGCACCTTGTCCAAGTCTGAAATGTAGTAATGCGCAACATCCAGGATCCCTAAATCCTAAACCCTAGGGTTGAGGGCTTAGGGTAAGCTTGGTGTCTTAGCCCTTCTTGCCCTAAACCCCTGAACCCCTAAACCCTAAACCCTAAACCCCTAAACCCTAAACCCCTAAACCCTAAAACCTAAACCCTGTTCTATATGGCAAGGCCGAGCTAACCGCCAGTGATAGCAATGCTCCCATGCGCCCTCAACCCCTTTGGAATGGAATTCTGCAATGAAATGCGGTTTAGGGGTATAGGTTATAGGGTTTCGGGTTTAGGGTTTAGGGGTATAGGGTTTAGGGCCTTAAGTCTTTCTCTTCTCTGCAATTGTGTTTCTGGCAGTTTCCTTGCCTAATGCGTTATCAGCCGACACCTTGAAAAGGTAAAAGCCTAAATGACAACCAAGACTGCTCCGCGCTAACTCTTGTGACTCCTGTGCAGCATGTTTTTTTTATGAAAAATCTAGAGTTCCCCTTTAAGTAGATGGAATATGGGGTATATGGGGATCTTATTATGATATACCCAAAGCCATGTTCTATCCGCTTAAGGTGGACTGGGTTATATAGGGTTATATAGGGTTATATAGGGGTTATATAGGGGTATATAGGGGTACTTGTGGAATTTGAGCCTCTTGGTTGCTCCGCACCCACAGCCCTTAAGAATAGAAGAAGTTTTAACTTCCAATAAACTGGCTCCTAAGCGATCCCTTTTCCCTAAAGCCTGTTAGGGTTTGGGTTTAGGCTCTTGGGGTTTAGAATTTGGGGTGTTGGGGCTTAGGGTTTAGGGTTTAGAGTATATCATTTGGGGTTAGAATCTTCAAGCGCTGACACCTAAATCCGAATTGCTACGCCCTACATGGATAATCTCACAAATCGTCAACACTGGTCCTGCCCAAAACCAACCCCCCAAAAACCTTACCCCCAAGAGACCTAATGCCAAGACCCGAAGAACTACACCCTGGAATTTAATGCGGCCACCCGCCACCCTATTCGTCAGAGATCCTAAAGTCTAACTCGTAAGCAAACAACGCGCAAACTCGCCAAACCCTCTTTTTCGATAGACATCCCTGTACATCAGCATTTATCCCTATGATATATCCCCTGTAAGGCTGCACAACACCCTAAACCCTAAACCCTAACTAAACCCTAAACCGTGTGTCAGGCGCCCTTCGACCCGACCAACTCCCGCGTGAAGGGCCTCTACGAGACGTCTTCGGAGCCTACCATGGCAGGCCGAACTTTCTGTAGTCTCCTCCAGGACCTTCCTTGTACCCTTAATTGGGGATATATGGTCCCTAATAGTAGGTACTTAGGCCCTAATAGAGGGTAGGAGCAGGGTCTAGGCTTAGGAATGATTCTTAATTCTTATTATCGTATAACCCTAAGAAATTACCATGTAGAGGGTAAAATTGTTGGTCTAATCTAAATGGGAAGATAGGGATGGGTCTTACATTTTAGTATTCAGGGCTTAGGGTTTGGAGTTTAGGGTTTAAGGTTTAGGGTTTAGGGTGGATGCGGGTTTATTTTAGGGATGTATAGGGGTGGGGGCTTATGGGGATGTATAGGGTTATACAGGGATACATACGGATTATGATTGTTGGGTTCTGGGTTTGGTGTAGGCCGGAACCATACGCATATAATGTTCAACATTATGGACCCTTTTTAATGATGGGCCCCCCCCCC